AGTGGATTTTCATGCTGCCCATTGCCTTGCTGAGAATCCGGAGTATGCTAACAAAGAGGACAAATTTGTCCCCTTTTGAAGTACTATATGGTAGGCCCCCACCCATCATTAGATGCATCAAGGGAGACTTACACCAGATAGGAGGGGTGGTGAACCGTGAACTGTTACAGAAATTGGGGGAGAATATGCAGTATATAAGGAAATGGTTTCAAGAGAAACTCCCAATAAGCCTGTCCAACCCCATCCACTCTTTTGCACCGGGAGATGCAGTGTGGGTAAAAGAGTGGAGCGTAACCCCTTTAGGGCCCAGATGGAGAGGTCCTTATACTGTTCTGCTATCTACTCTCACAGACATTAAGGTGGCTGAGGTGACCCCTGGCTACATCACTCCAGGGCAAAGCGAGTTGCTGATCACACAGATTCCTGGCTGAGTAAAGCAGACCCTAAAAACCCCTTGAAGCTGAAGCTGACCAGAGAAATCAGAAGGAAGAACTTCAACCCTGCTCTCCACACACCCAGAAGCTGTTGAGTCAACGAACAGCGGAAGAAAGGGATACATCTGATATCTGTTAGAACAGTGGTTCTCAACCTTCCTAATGCCGTGACCCTTTAATATAGTTCCTCATGTTGTGGTGACCCCCAACCATAAAATTATTTTCGTTGCTACTTTATAACTGTAATTCTGCTATTATTATGAATTGTAATGTAAATATCTGATATGCAGGATGTATTTTCATTGTTACAAATTGAACATAATTAAAGCATAGTGATTAATCACAAAAACAATATGTAATTATATATTGTGAAATATTTCTTTCTAATTACAAATAAACAAAATTTTGTCTTGAAGCATGGTGTAGCATGGGTAACAGTCTTAATATAACAACAGTAAACTACATTGCTACATTTTGCAACAGTATGCGTAAAAAGCCAACGTCAGTGCGAAGGTTGAGGTTGCTTCTTTCTCACCAGATCAAAATTCTCGGGACAGTCTTTGCAAGAGCACAACGAAGATCATCTTCCACAACAAGTCTACTTCTGTATTTAGACTTGATAACCAACAAGCTGGAAAACCCTGTTTCACAAAGATATGTTGTTGGAAATGGAAGAAGAAGGCGCAACACAGTCCCAGACAGGATATGACTGCAAACACTTGATCCAGAATTTTGTAACTGGCGTTGTAGAGAAATCAGTTCTCTCTGCATCGCTGTTAATAAGTTCAATGAACTCCTCTTGTGCTGTCTGAGGAACATCTTCAACTTTGACTGTGAATGGACTTCTGGCAAGTGCAAATGGGGTGTCAGGTAGATTTGGAAAGTACGATGAAATTTCGTCTGCAAGCATGTGCAAGTGTTCTTTCACAGAAATTATCATAGTAATCCTTTTGTCTGGTTCAATGTCATGTTCCTCAAAGAAAGAAGATAAGGTAGGCAACATGTAAATTTTATTTTCATCCAATTTTTTTTGCCAAAGCTGAAGTTTCATTTGGAATGATCGGATCTTTTCAGACAAATCGAGGCATGTTGCATTTGGTCCTTGCAGTGATAAATTTAACTCATTCAAGATGGCAAAGATGGCAACCAAGTAAGCTATTTTCTGCAGTTCACTTTTATTGCTGAAAAGTGCTTTGAACTGCGGTCTTGCTTTCTGATTAAAAAACGTTTTGAGTTCATCACGAAGCTCAAAAACACGTTTTAAAACTTTTCCTCTCGACAACCATCTCACTTCAGTGTGAAATAGCAGAGCATTGTTCGGCGCATCCAACTCATTGCACAGTTGCGAAAACAGTTGACTGTTTAAAGTGATCGCCTTTACAAAATTGACAGAACTTATGACTCTTTTCATTACTTCTTGTAACTCTTGTGGCAGCTTCTTTGTTGCTAATATTTGCCGATGAATCATACAGTGAGTTCTGATGACTTTTGGTCCTAGCATAGCTGGAGCACTATCTGTACAAATGCCACAAACCTTTTCCCAAGAGATCCTATGCTCTTTCAGAAATGAACCAACTGTGTCAAATACATCACGTGCAGTAGTTGTCGTTTCAAGAGGTTTGCAAAAAAGAAACTCCTCTTTAAAGTCACCATCATTAATATACGTCACGTAAACAAGTAAGTGTGAACAGTTTGCAATGTCTGTAGATTCATCAAGCTGGATACTAAATATTGGAAGTGGAGCAGATTTAATTTCCTGAATTACCTGATTAAGAATATTAGCATACATGTCATCTATTCTTCTGCGGACAGTGTCATTAGATAAGGAAATTGCATTCAATTTCATAAAAAATTTGTCTCCGATCATAACTCTCAAACAATGCCTTTGACCGCTGGCAACAGTAAATCCTCAGCAATGGTGTGAGGTTTCATAGATTCTGAGTGCCATCAAATATGAAGCTTCAACTGCTGCTATGTTTTGTTTGTGGTACTTGCCACCAGTGTCAAGTCTGGCTTTCTTGAGTCCATCAGCTTTGCTTCTAAAATAGTTGGTATCTTTGCCGGCAAAGCTTGGATGCTTGTTATCAAAATGGCGTTTTAGTTTGTTCGGCTTCATAGATTCAGCTGATAGAACTTAACAACAAATAACACATTGTGGTTTCTGAATTCCTGCTGTAATTATTGAGGTAAAACCATACTATAGAAAATCCTCACTATATTTTCTTAACATTCTTCTCTACATGATCCATTGTCATGGGATGGTTTGCTAATGAAAATAATATATAACAATAGCTTTAATAATACAAAAGATGATACATAGGTCAGTCAATACAGTTCATTAAAGTTTTCTATGATTTGCCATTCTCTGTGTTGTTTTTTTTTACATACCTGTTACTATCACAAGGGGGCAGTATTCACATCAACCACAGCTGAATATAAAAAGACCGATCAGCATCCAGATTAAGTTTCCATGGTACAGATATTTTTTTTTGCAGTAGTTAATGATTTTACAGTAGCTGATTTTACATTTACCCAGTAATTATAATTCATGAAGTGTCGATTTACCTCCAATGCTGCTGCTTTTAACAGAGTAGCTGCTTTCAACATAGCAGCTGCTTTCTACACAGTAGCTGCTCTTTACACATGTGTGACTGGTCCACATAACTACATTATGGCGTCAACTCTGTCACATACACCTGTATTCGTACGGGGAGTATGTGATGGGGTTGGTGTGATGATGTCATCACGCCGGGTACTCGTACGTGGGCATATCTGCATGTGGGCGGACCCGCCTGTAGACGGATAGAGGAGCGGTGTCTCAGTTCCTAAGACCATCGGAAATATGTGTTTTCCGATGGTCTTGGGCGACCCCCGTGAAAGGGTCTTTCGACCCCCGGGTTGAGAACCGCTGTGCTAAAAGGAAGACCTCCAGCTCTGCTTCAGTCACACCCGGAAGCTGACTGGTCAACCCACAGCGGAAGATGGGAATATACACCAATATGATGCCTGATAAAAATGTTTTAATGAAATTGCTGGTAGGCATAATAATAACCCTGGCTAGAACCAGAGCCAAGACTATTAGAGTAGGATCCATAACCACTAGGATGTTACTATAGCATACTCATTATCAATGTGAAGGCACAATAACTGACATTTTGTGTACATAATGAAACAACTTATTCAACGTGCACTGTAGGGAACCAGGTATGACCTCATCTATGAAGCTATGTTAAGTGATGCTTTGTTTCTGCTCAAGTTGTTTGCTGCAAAGAACTGGCTGATACCTGTAGTGCACAGCTTCATACAGATTGTTTTCTCTCTCAACTCACTCCCCTCTCCCAACATCCTGTATTTTTCTGTCTGAAACTAGAGAGATAAGATGCATAAGTGTGAAACCGCAAATGCAGACCCAGGATTAGCAGGACTGCCCTTAGCCCCTTAATGCCTTGGGTGGTTAGTGGTCAATTGGTGATGCTTTATTTCACTCAAATTTTCGCTACGATAGCATCAAAGGGGGGAATGTGGCAGCACCCAAGTATTGCAGAGTTCCCCTTTAAACTTTAACATTTTTAGCAGCCTCTGTTTGCAAAAACAAGGTCGCCATCTCACTTCCCCCCTCCCTTATTTCCTGTGAAGTAATGTATTCCAGTGTGTAGCTGGTATTCTTATCTGTAGCTGAAGATAAATTATCTAGCAAGGCCATGTTCTGAATTGCTTAGTTTTTCGAATGTACAGAAAGTGAAAGAGTAAATATACGCATTGTGACATAATTTCTAATATGTATACTCTGTGAGATGTTTCTCAAGCCACTTAGCTTGCAGACACTAGTCCTTGCTGAGTCTCAACCAGCGCTGGTTAATAAATGGTTTGTTTTCCTCAAGTTTGTGTCCAGAGTTTTACCTGATATTCCCAAAGTTGCTACTACACTGCACCACAAAGCAGTGTGCTGTGGTTCATAAAGGTCAATGAAATGGTGACCTTCAAATAAAGTTTAAAAAAAAAAAGGTAAACAGTTTGATGTGTTGTAACAATACATAACACCACCCCTTCACAGCCTGTACCAGTCAGGGGCGGACTGACAACCCATGGGCCCCCAGGCAATAGGGGATCATGGGGCCCCTGTGTCCTTGCCCAAACTCAAAAAAGCCTATGAAAAAGGTACCGGGGCATCTCATGGGGCTCCCTACTGACCCCGGGTCCTCAGGGCAGTGCCCGAGTTTCCAAATGGTCAGTCCGCCCCTGGTACCAGTATAAAATTCTTGTATGTTCCTCCAGAGAAAACAGTAAGGGCCCATTCACAGCAGCGGGAGCATATCATGCTCTGTGTAACTTGCACCCACTGGTGTAAATGTGCCCTTACTGTTTTCTCAGGTGGAATGTGCAACAGTTTTATACTGGAACCATCTCCTGTGTCTTTTAGTAACTGCTTTCCCGCCGCCCTATAGTAGAACTACTGCAGGGCAGCAGGCCTGCACAAAATCACATACATATATGGGACTTGCATTTCCGGGTAGGGAGCTCGCGCGCCGCTCTACCCAGGCCGCCATTGGTGGCTAGGGATGTCAATCACCGGATCCCGGCTGGAGATTCCCCGCCTAAACCTGCCGTTGAAAGCTGACAGGGGAGAGACCTGTGTGTGAACACAGGTCTTTCTCCTGCCAGAAAGGACATGCTGCTTTGTATTTCTCTGCACAGCAGAGAAATACAAAGCAGCATGTCTCCCTAGTAAAACACACACAGCACGTAATGTAAAACAGCACTCAGTTAACCCTTTGATCACCACAGATGTTAACCCCTTCCTGCCCAGTGTCATTAGTACAGTGTCAGTGCTTTTTATTAGCACTGATCACTGTATTAGTGTCATTGAGATGTCAGTGGCAGTTAGTCAGTTCCCACCCAGTGTCAGAAATCCTGCAGTCCTGCTATAAGTCGCTGATCGCCACCATTATAATAAAAATAAAAATCCCAGTATATATACCTCCATTTGTAGACACAATAACTTTCATGTAAACCAATTAATTTACATAGCATATAATAAAGTGCAGCTAGAGACACAATCCTCACCTACACACCGCTGTGCTGCCCATTCCCTAGAAGGAGGACCCCCCTACTGTACCTCTTCAAGAGGTGATTCATTTATGCGCATCCTATGCGCATCTGGTAAGTGCGCATTTTTACCGGTTTTCCCAAGCACCATTACTTTGATCTTCTGGCTCACTCGATGTTATTACCACATTTACCCACGGACTTATTCATATTTAAATGACTCATCATTCAGCATTGCACTTTATTATATGCTTTGTATTTGAAGGTTTTGTTTGGTTGCCTTGAGGTGCTAGCTGCTACACTGGGAAGCGCTCACTATATTTATTTCATTACAATTAATTTACATGTATTGGAATTTTTTTTTTACAAAGACATGTAGCAGAATACTTTTTGGCCTAAATTTATGAAGAAATTTAGATTTTTTTTTATTTTGCCGGATGTGTTTTATAGCAAAAAGTAAAAAATATTGGGTTTTTTTTTCAAAATTGTTGGTCTTTTTTGTTTATTGCGCAAAAAATAAAAATAAAAATTACATACATTTCATTTAGGTACAGCGTTGCATGACCTCGCTATTATTAGTTAAAGTAACGCAGTGTTGTATCGCAAAAAATGGCCAGGTCAGGAGGGCAAATCTTCCGGAGGGCAAGTGGTTGCACTGTATGTGGTGGTGTAAGGTTGGTCTTCCTATATGATCTTTTCAACGTTGAACCTCATGGTGCATTTTGTACACAATGAAGCAAACTCCAGCATTGCTAAAATATTTGAAGCAGACGTATTTCTCCCAAGAGCCTGTAAAATCACAAGTATATACAAGTTGTCATAATGACTGCATATGCTTATGCTAAGCAACTGACTTTGGATTTGATTACAGTATAAAATGATTGCACTTTTCTCCCATTAACCTTATACATGAATCATCACACTGCAGGAGGGTTTGCGGTATGTATATAGTGTTTGATTACAGCATTAGAAAAATGGACTGGATGATTGCCATCCTGCACAAAGGTGTTCGGCTATTAGTATAAAGAATCATCTATGGTGATTAGTCGCAGTACTACAATATGTGTGACACAATATTCTCCAGCTCATATGGTGACACAGAACTGTGGAATGTGTACAAAGACACTAGAACGGACGTCTAGCTGTATATGGCCTTGACACTTGATACAAATTAAAAACTTACACTGCAAGGGTTACATACAGTATGTATAGTTACTATACATATATAGTTACATACAGTATCTACTAAGTGGTTGTAAACCACCGTGCAGGGGTGTGGTGACACAAATTTTTTTCATGTGTCTGGTTTTTTCACTGTAGGAAAGCAGAGTATTTTAGATGACTGGCTGGTCCTTTGGCCAGACTATGGACAAATGACTTGTGCTGCAATGCTGTGTGAGGTAGACTGGTCATTTTAATTTTGATTTTTTTTTTTGGGGTTTACAACCACTTTCCCGCCACCCTATAGCAGAAATACTGCTACAGGGCAACAGCGGCGCGTGAAATCACGTATATATGATTGATTTTGCACATCCTTGCCACCCTGACAATAAAAAATCCCCTGCGCAGTTTAAGGTTAAACCTCTTGTCCTCTAATTTCATTGAGTTTCCCCGTGTATTCTTACACTTCCTGAGACTGAGTAATTTATTCCCTATGATAGAATCAGCATTAAGATATTTGTATATCGCTGTCATATCTCTTCTCTAGAGAGAATAAGGTTAATGTTTGTAGTTATTCCTCAGAAACAATTGAGTACTGTCCGTGATACTTTTTTTATTTGCACTAACATACAATTTTGAGGACAAGCTTTCGGGGAATGTCCCCTTCTTCAAGGTCCAAGCAGTACTGAAGAAGGGGACATTCTTCTGTTCTGCGCTGCGCTTTTTTAAACATTGGTACCATGTTGGCCCTTTGCCAATCAGCTGGTACCATTCCTGTCAGAATTCTGTATATAAAAATTAGGAATAACGGCCTGGCTAAAACCTGACTGAGTTATTTGAGGACTCTCAGGTGTAAGCCATCTAGTTATTTATTTATGTTAAGCTTTTCAAGTCTTTTCGGATAATGGTTGACCCCCGGTTCACATATATGCGGTCGTGCGGGCTGCGTTCTGCACGGGCATGAGAGCCCATTCATTTGAATGAACTCCCGTGCCTGTGACATGCAGGGAAGAAGTCCCTGCACTTCTTTGGAAAACGCAGCCCGCACGGGAACCTCGGTTTCCAGCACGGTTGCGTTTTCCAGTGCGGGCAGCGTGCCATTAGAACTAATGGCACCCGCCCGCGGGTCCGCATTTCTCTGTGCGGTTGGTGCGGCTGCACGGATTTTCGTACGGATCTGCAGCGGCACCACCCACACAAATGTGAACCTAGCGTTAATGCTAAACTATTTTTAAGAACCAGAAAAATCAGTTTTACTTACTCAATCTGCTCCTGCAGGCTCACACCGTGCTACTAGACTGATCCCCAGAGTCCTTTCTTCCCTATGCTTTGGCAGGTGCAGGTCCTCTGACATCATCAAGTACAATGCAGGACATATGGACGCAGAGGTGCAGTACATCAGAGCATAGTGAAGAAGAGGAAAGCGCTGGCTGTCAGGGAGGGGAACTCAGGTAAGTATAACTGCTTTTTTCCAGTACCCTAGATCCAGCATTTAACCCTTGCAGTACATGGGCAGCCTCCTGAGAAGGAAGATTTTTCCTTTCTCTGGAAATAGGCTTTAACACCTATATTGCCAGCAAAAATATTTCAGTTATTTTTGATAGCACAGGGAAGGGTCAGAGCCTCTTTCAGATATGTAAGCACATGCATTCGTCATAGCAGCCAGGGATGCAGGAACTAACCTTGCAAAGGAGGCAAAGTATCCAAAGAGAATGTAGAGGCAGAGAAAAACAGAAGGGAAAGGTGCCAGTCACTCACTACACAGGCCTATTCTACCCCAGATATGCACCCCAAAAAATCAACAGAAGGTGCTCCCAGTCTTAGCCCAATGACTGGAAATGCAACCAGGAAAGGCTGAACCTGGTCGGGTGCCTCTGAATAATAGTAGGTAAGTGGTAGGTTAGCTCCCCACACTTGATGTAAAATCTCTAACTAAAATGGCACAGGAGTGGAATCTCACAAGATTTGGGATCCTTAAAGTGGTTGTAAACCTCAGACATGAAATATGAACAAAGAAAATCTCTTTATAGTGTGTATCAATCCAGAGCACTGTGTCATTTCTGTTCACTGCCTTGTTCCTCTGTTATCTGCATGAGTCACTTCTGGTAAGTTCTCCTGACACCAAGAGGGGAGGGAGTTCCAGCACATAGCCTGTGGTTGACAGCCTCAGCTCTGTTCCTGTGGGCTGTGTGAAGGGAGGAGTTTCTCTTCAACACTCAGAGCTCTCCTTGCTGAGCTCTGTAGTGTGTAATTTCAGCTCTCTGCCTCCTTTTTTTCTGAACTCTCAGACAGGCTTCTCCAGAAAAAAGAAGGCTGCAGATAAACAGGTACAACTTATGTAGGAGGATTTGTTTCATCCCTGTGTATCACCCAAGGTCATTCTTCTCACTGGGTATATGTAAGGGTTTACAACCACTTCAAATTTCCTAGGAGGCCACAATGAGGCTAAGTGACGTCACTGGCACCTAGGAGGCAGGCCCGAATCTGGGGTCTAAGGTAAGAACTTCTTTCTAATAATGATAGGGGTTGGATGGGCATTAGGTGATGGTCATTGCATCCTATCCTATGAATATACAGTATATGTATTTTTGCCCTAAATATTTATCTGCAACTTGTCAGAGGTGCAACATTTCCGGGGTGCAGGTCTGTCCACAGGGACAATTTTTCATCCTTAAAACTTAGCGGAAAGAATTTAACTTTTTTTTTTTTTTTGCTGCTTTACTTGCTCATTACAATGTATAACTAAGTGAAGAGAAGATATTCTTTTTTTTTTTAGGGAGGGGAGGGAGAGTTGGAGTTTGACAAAGAAACACAGAAACACAAATTAATACATTGGTTTATTTTTCTGCATCGGCTCTAGCTGAGTGTAGTTTAGCAGAACTCCTGAATATGCCAAATGTACTGTTAATTAAAGAAAAAAAAGAAAACACAGTAGGAAAAAACGTGTGACAGTCGTGTTACTGATGCTGCTCTAGAAAGTTTATATAGCGCAGAACATTGTGTATCTCCACCCTTGATTTATTAACTTGTGCATAGAGAAGTTAAAAATATTTTTCCTAGTCAGAAAGAAACATTTCTGCAGCTCGTACAATTATTCAGTTTAGATACTGTGTGAACCAAAATAAAGACAGAGCTGGAGAAGTTAATATGTAAACTGGAAATGTTTAAAGTATAATTAAAAGTCACATTTTTTTTTTAATTATGGATGGAGTGAAGAGGGATTAGAACCCCTGACAGGTTTTTACTGCTGTCTACATCCCTGTTAGGCCTGGTTCACACCATTGCATTTTTTAGTGCATTTTGTGTTTTCCAGAAATGCACTACAGTCCATTTAACCACTTGCCTACCGGCACTTTTACTCCCTTCCTGCCCAGGCCAATATGCAGCTTTCAGCACTGTTGCACTTTGAATGACAATTGTGTGGTCATGCAACACTGTACCGAAATTACATTTTTTTAATTTTTTTGCTCTCTTTTAAAGGATAAGTTCACCTTTTGGACAAAAATAATAAATGCACATTTTTGTTGCAGGTAAAAAAAATGTGCAATTATTATTTTTGTCCATTGGAGCCTGGAAAGCATTGCACCAGCGATCAGTAGATTGCTGATGCCATGCAGGTCTCCTGCAGACCTGTCAGAATATCTGCTTGGCTGTACTGGATGTACGAGCAAGCAGATATTCTGACATGAAGGGGTTTATTTACTAAAGCTGGAGAGTCC